AATCCCCAACCTATTTGTTTGTTTTTTTTGTTTTTATAATTTTTTTCAACACAAAAACAACAAAAAAAAGTTTTAATCTGTTGTTTTCAGTATATTTCATCATCAACAAACAAACACCAAAAACTAAAAAAAAAAAAAAAATCTGAAATTGTTCTCACAGATCAGATTAGAAAAAGAGAAAGAGAGTCGTTGAAACTTTAGATCAGATCTTCAAAATTTCAAATCTTACTGTCGGTGGTGGTGGTGGTGGTGGTGGATCTGAATCTTGTGGCTGAGCAACTCCGGCGATGAAGCTTCGATTGGTGGTAAGAGAGATCATCGGATTCAATGAAGATGAGGTAGGATGGTTGTGCGTGTTCGGTTCGAAGTAGAGAGGATGAGGTCGCGGAAGCGAAAAGGAGACTGCAGCTGTGAAGGTGGTAGTCGTGGCGATTGGGTAATTGCGGGAGTAGTGGTCGGCGAGAAGAGAGATAAAGGGAATGAGAAGAGAGAGAGAGAGAGAGAGAGAGAGAGAGATATGAGACTGTCTGAGGCATGTGTGAGTATGTGAGGTTGTGTTAGGGTTTGATTTATATATATAGGGGTATTATAGTAATTTTTGTTTGAAGAAACGAGGACGGAGACGGGGATGGGCTAGGATCGGGACCGGGGCTAGGGAACGTATCACCGTCGCCGGCCTGAAAATTGTCGAGGATTCATTTTCGAATACCATCCCCGTCGGGGATATTTTTCAGGAAAAAACCAATCTAATCGAGGTCGGGAAGCCGGTCTCTATCGAGCCGGGTTCAAATTTCCATATTTACATAAAAGGCACAAAATAATCATGGACAATTATTTAAACTAAAACATTAAACATAACTTAATTTGAATAAACAAATTAATTAAGTGACAGAAACTGAAATCCATAAATTATGTAGGTAAATAGCCATAACCACTATCATGACCCAAACCCGCCTCTATAGGTTTAGCATCGTTACCAGCCAGTAATTCGGGGATTATCAAAGGCCTACTTAACAGTAGATAGTAATAGGGGCTGACGGAAGCCAATAATAAAATAAAATTATCCAATGAGCAGCGAGACTTACATGGAACAAAACAACTTCATATATTATAGACATATATTCACGTAAGCCAACTCATACATGAGTACAAAAACATTTACACCTAGGGAATTAATCCCCATTAACAAAATTAAACAAGATAAAAGATCTAAAACCAAAACTTCATAACATTGACCACAGTGCAAAAGGGTGAACCCAAAAGTCTTGACACGTGATGGCTTGGAACCTCGCAGTGAGGCACAGAAGTTGGCTTGACAAAACAAGGCTCGGGTCGACGACACTAAGTCCGGTCCGGTGCTTGATTACGTACATTTATATAGTAAAACAATGAGCTAAAGCTCAGTGAATAATAATTATGTAAAGGATTTATGAATGATGTTCCTACAGTAATTTAAAACAGTCAGTTTTAGTAGTGAATCAGTTCACAAATGAGTATTTCATACATTTCAGAGTCATAATGAAATCATAGCAGTCATACATGGTACATCCAATAGTAGAATAGTACAGTAGGTCTTAAAGACTGAATAGTCATTTGATGGCCATCAATATAGTAAACAGTAGTTCCAAGAGTTGGAACTAACAAAGATCTCTGTAACAGTAACAGTAAACAGTAGCAGTGGCAAATGTTATGGATGCCACGAATATAATTCATAAAATAGGACAATCATTCATTCAGAAAAACAGTACCGTTTCAGAAACAGAGCAGTTTATCAATCAGAAAATAAATATAACTTGAACATCTCACAGTTGGCTCCTCGAAACACGTGGTTAGGACGTGGCGTTTGACCTACACAGACACATGCAAGCACAACGATTCAAAATACATTCTATCCATTCAATCGGTTCTTAACCTACCCATTCCTATTCGTTTTTCTATTTTTGTTGTGTTCATGAAATGCATATACATATGAAAAACACTTGAAAACCATGCAAACGGAGGCCCAGAAGTTAGAAAAACAGAAAGAAAACAAATCCGGGACCCTTGAAAACTGTACGTGCGGAGGGTCTAGTCGCACGTGCGAAAACACCACCGCACGTACGCCTTTCACGTGCAATTAGAGCAGAATGCTCGGCTTGGCCTATCCTATTTTCCACACGTGCGGGACTCACTTCTGCATGTGCAATTCTGGGTAAATTCTATTCGAAAATCTACTTTGAATTGAAAACTCAAGCTTTTCAAACTCCAACTTCAATTTTATGGAAATCAAGGCCCAAAACCCTTAATAACACCTTGAATTTAACCTTTCTAGGTTCAAATAAAAATTATAAATTCAAAAGATAAAACTCTTGAAGTAAAGTATAAAATAATCAAAATACACATGTATGAGTTCCAATCTCGAAATCCTTGAAGGAACCTTCTCATTCTCAAAATTCATGCAAGAAAACAAGTGTACATGCCAAAAACTAGAGCTAGTTTCTACCATTCTTCACTTTTATGTACATATATGTTCATATGAGTTCTTAAACCACAAAACCCTCAATTAAACATAATGTCTTTCTTAATTAAGCTTAAATTCAAGAGGATATGAGTGTAGATGACTCAAATCTAAGGAATTAGGAAGAAATTCATACCTAGAGGTGATAATTTATGAAAATCCCTTCAATTCTCCCTTGTTCTTCTTTTTCTTCTTCTTCTTTCCTTCTTGAGTTCTCTAGAACTCTCCCTTTATCTCTCAAGTATAATCTCTTGTCTCAACAAATCCCACTTAGTATCACGACCCAAATCTGCCCCTATAGGTTTAGTGTTGTAACCAGCCAGTAATCTGAGATTACCAAAGGCCTAACTAAATAGTTCAAATAAACGAGGCTAACGGAAGCTAATATAGGAGAAAAGAAACTATCCAATGAGCTATGACAATAGCATGAGACAAAATACAATGTTATATATATATACACATATGTACATCCAAGCATCACAAATCTGCCAAAATGCAAAAAAAAAAAAAAAAAAAAAAAAAACAGTTTCAACAACCACAGACATAACCCCAGCAAAAACTGATTATAATCCGTGGGTGACTTTTAAAAGGGGGATCATTGGCCACCTCAATTGGGAACCTCGCAATGAGGCACGACAGGTGGCTTAACAAAACTGAGGCAAGATCGCCACTATTAAATCTCCTCCTGAACTGCGTCATCTACATAATATATATAACAAAACGTGAGCTAGAGCCTAGTGAATAATAGCTGTGTAAAGGGATTTCGAATGATGATCATAATGTAAGACAAAGCACATACTGAACAAATTCGTATCTCATATAGAAAGCATAAAAGTCATACGTGGTATATCTCAAAGCAAACTAATACAGGCGGTTATGAAAACCGAACAGACAGTTATAAAGACCCGTAATCAGATATGATGGCCATTACTATAGTAAACAGGAGTTCCAAAAATTGGAATTGACAAAGATCTCTGTAATCATGTAAATAGGTGCTAAGGATGCCACGAAATACAGTGTAAGTAAATGGGATCATCATTCAACGAATATAAGATGAAACATGTTCAAAACAAGGAATAAAATATTGAAGTTAAACATATCTTTATGACAGTGTTACTCATAGCTGGCTCTGAGATGCACGTGACTGGGACGTGGCATTTGACTTACATAGACAGATATGATCGTAGCACATTTAATCCGTTATACAATCAACTAATTAGTTTCATTATTTAGGAAGTGATTGGTCTAAATGTCTTTTACTCTTTTTTAATGTCTGGGAAATGCAAATGCACGTCTAATATGGATGCGAAGTACGTTAATAGAGGCCCGGGAGTGGAGTAAACGAAGCAGAAAAATAAAACCGAGGCTTCCAAACAGCTGCACATGCAGAGTCCCTTGGCTGCACGTGTGGGACTCTCACCGCACGTGCGCCAGCAAGTGTAATTATTTCAGAATACAAACTGACTCTTCCTTGTTTTCTGCACATGCAGGCCTGCTCACCGCATGTGCGCCAGTGCCTCCCGCACATGCGGTCACCCCTGCCGCACATGCGGTTTTGGGCAGACCAAAACCGAGAATCTGCTCTGCTTTTAGTGAGTTCTCCCTCTTCAAAACTCCAGCCCAATTTAAACAAATCAAAGTCCAAAACAATTGCCAAAACATAAGAAATGAGCAACCACCAAGTTTCAACCAAAAATGTGACTTTCACACCTCTTGTAAACACATGAACAAACTTGTAATTGGAAAGAAAATAGGAATTATACATAAAGGGAGTTCTATGTTCTAAAAGCCGTGGAAAGCTAACTCAAGAGTCATACAAAACCAAGTGATTGAGTTAAAATAGTGCCATAGATACAAAGGTTTGGAGAACACCTCTTATTAGGGTTGGTAACACAACCCACACTACTCAACTCCTCATTCTCTCCTTAAATTCCATGAGTTCAAGATGAAAGTTGTTCTAATGCAAGAAATTGCAAAAAATTCTTACCTTTAACAGTTAATTTGATGAAGTTACTTCAAGTTCTCTTCTTCCCCCTTTCTTTTCTCTTCTTCTCTCCTTGTTCTCTAGAATTCTCTCAAGCTCTAGAACACGTACTCTCTCTCTCTCTCTCTCTCTCTCTCTCTCTCTCTCAGGTGATATTTCTCTATTTCCCTCTTATTTGAGTTCAATATGTATATATATATAAAATATCCAATTTCCTTAACTTGGATTAATTAAATTAGAATCACAACAATTAAGTTAAACCCTTCTTTGTCTAATTAGGAGGAATTAGGCTCTACCCACCTAGTCCATTATTTAGTTTGTAACCTTACAAATTTAACGAATTAGACAGGTCTGTTCCTTAAATTAACATATCTATTAAGCAAAACATGATGTATATAACACATAAATAAACATAAAACGCATGAAAAAACACAGAATTAAAATTAACCATAAATTTAATGGCTAATTAAGAGGCGGGTGTTACAGTCTCTCCCCCTTAGGACGTTTGGTCCTCCAAACTCAATTACCTTCTTTCGTGAAGAGTATAGAATCCAATGGGAAAAGTTTAGGGTATTTTTCTTGAATATCTGCTTCCCTTTCCCAAGTTGCATACAAGCCGCTGTGGTTTTGCCAGTCTACTCTCACCAACGGAATTTCTTTATTCCTCAGCTTCTTAATATGGCGGCTAACAACCTGAATGGGCCGCTCTTCATATATATAGTCATCACTCACAAGTATCTGAGTCAGTTCAATAACTTGTTGAGGATCTAGAAGAGATTCTCTTAACATGGAAACATGGAAAATGTTGTGCATGTGCTCCATAGTCGGAGGTAAAGCTACCCGGTATGCCACTGGACTCAGTTTCTCAATAATCTTATACGGTCCGATGTATCGAGGTGCTAACTTACCTTTAGCCCCAAAATGAGTATGTCCCTTCATTGGCGTAACTTTGATAAAAACATGGTTTCCTACTTCATATTCTCTTTCCCGTTTACGCACATCAGCATAGCTTTTCTGTTGACTTTGTGCCGTTTTCAACCGTTGCTGGATCAACTTCACTTTTTTAGTAGTTTCTTGTACAAGTTTGGGTCCCAATAATGGTCTATCTCCAACCTCAGCCCAACAAATTGGCAACCGACATTTCCTACCATAGAGAGCCTCGTATGGTGCCATATCAATGCTTGAATGATAACTGTTGTTGTATGCAAATTCAACCAAAGGCAAATGTGTCTTCCAATTCCCTTGAAAATCTAGTACACACATATGTAACATATCTTCTAATGTCTGTATTGTTCTTTCTGACTGACCATCTATCTGTGAATGATAAGCACTACTCAACCTTAATTCAGTTCCTATTGCCTTTTGTAGACTTTGCCAAAACCGTAAAGTGAACTTTGGATCTCTATCAGATACTATTGATACAGGCACTCCATGTAATCTCACAACTTCATTCATATACAAAGTAGCCAATTTATCTACATTATATATTGTTTTAACAGGTAGGAAATGAGCAGATTTTGGCAATCGGTCAATAATTACCCAGATAGAATCTATACCTCTACTGGAGCGAGGCAATCCAACCATGAAATCCATTGTGATATGTTCCCATTTCCACTTTGGTATTGGTAATAGCTGAAGTAACCCTGCGGGTCGTTGATATTCTGCCTGAACTTGCTGACAGTGCAAACATCTAGACACAAATTTCGTAATTTCCCTTTTCATTCTTGGCCACCAAAAATTCTTCTTCAAGTCTTGATACATTTTTGTGTTTCCCGGATGGATAGAGAATTTGGAACTGTGGCCTACTTGAAGAATTCGTTTCTTTAAATCACTGTCGTTTGGTACACATAACTGTCCCTGAAATTTGAGTATGTCATTCTCAAAACTGAACCCCGGTCTAGGTTTGGAATCTCGTTCACCCACTATTTTCTTTAAGAACTCATCTTGTAATTGTTTTCCTCTGACCTCTTCAAATATTATTGGTTCATGCAGTATTGTCTTCTGTGTGGTGAACAAACAAGTTAAGTTTCCCATTGATTTCCGACTAAGAGCATCAGTCACCGCATTAGCTTTTCCAAGATGGTACAGAATTTGCAGATCATAATCTTTAATTAGCCCTAGCCATCTACGCTGTCTCATGTTCAGCTCTTTCTGGGTGAAGAAATATTTCAGACTTTTATGATCCGTGTACACCTCACATGTTTCCCCATACAAATAGTGGCGCCAAATTTTCAATGCAAAGATCACTGCAGCTAATTCCAGATCATGAGTTGGATAACTCTTCTCGTGCGGTCTTAACTGACGAGAAGCATAGGCAATCACCTTTTCGTTTTGCATCAATATGCGCCCCAAGCCTTTATAAGAGGCATCACTGTAAATGGTAAAGCCATCCGTGCCAGAAGGTAAAGTGAGAATTGATGCTGTCACAAGTCTTGTCTTCAATCCTTGAAAAACTACCTCTCTTTGGTTAGTCCACTTGAATGGTACCCCTTTTTGTGTCAACCGGGTAAGTAGCAAGGCAATTTTTGAGAAGTCTTTCACAAATCTGCGGTAGTATCTGGCTAAACCTAAGAAACTATGGACTTCTGTGACATTTGTCGATCTAGGCCAATTCACAATTGCCTCTATCTTTTGTGGATCAACAAAATTTTCATTCTTCGTTATCGTATGTCCCAGAAACATTACACTCTCCAGCCAAAATTCATATTTCGGCAATTTAGCATACAATTTCTTCTCCTTCAATGTTTGAAGAGCAAGTCTCAAGTGACGTTCATGTTCCTCCTTACTTTTGGAGTAAATCAAGATGTCATCGATAAAAACCACAATGAATTCATCAAGGAATGGTTTAAAAACTCTGTTCATTAAATCCATAAAAGCAGCTGGTGTATTTGTAACTCTGAAAGGCATAATAAGGAATTCATAATGATGGCCGTATATGGTTTGAAAAGTAGTTTTCTCCACATCTTCAGCTTTAACCTTTAACTGATGATATCCGGATCGCAAGTCAATTTTTGAAAATATCTGTGCTCCTCATAGTTGGTCAAACAGATCGTCAATACGTGGTAACGAGTACTTATTCTTTATTGTCACCTTGTTTAACTCTCGATAATCAATGCACAACCTTCGGGTTCCATCCTTCTTTTTAACAAATAACACTGGGGCACTCCACGGAGACGTACTAGGCCTAATAAATTTCTTTTCTAGTAACTCTTGCAACTAAATTTTCAACTCTTTTAGTTTAGTAATCCACATCCGGTATGGGGTCTTGGAAATCGGCTAGGTACCTGGTACTGTCTCAATAGTAAATTCAATTTCTCGGTCAACCAAGTTTCCCAGCAAATCATCTGGAACAATACCTCGATAACAAATCCATTCCCAGAATCATATCAAAATGCATGATATTTAAAGGCAATAGATCAACATATAAAGTCATATCCTCAACATTAACATCACATGTAGGATACATATATGTGCAAGTCATAGACTCCCCAGTTGGAGAAGATACGGCTAACACATGATGCATTGGTTCAAATTTTCGAGTAAATTTTAAAGCAAAAGCACAAGACACAAAAGAGTGTGTGGATCCCAAGTCAATCAACACATATGCATTCTGAGAACATAGAAGAAGAATACCTGACACAACCGTTTCTGTAGTTTGCACATCATCCAGTACCAATGCAAAAATCTGTCCTTGCTTTAAAGTTTCTTTTCTCGTAGCTGCTTTCAAATTTACCCTTGGTGTTGACATTGATGTAATTGAGCTAGCCCTGGGTTGGCTCGTACTTTAAGACACTAAAGGACAATCTTTAATCATATGGCTTGTTTTTTCACACCGGAAATATGCGCTAGAAATTCTACGACAAACTCCCTTATGCCATTTTCCACACTTTGGACAGATGGGTGTATCATTCCCTTGGCTTGAGCTAGTAGATGATCCCATATTCTGTCTCTTATTCGGTGGAGTGTTGAAATTGTTTCGGCCCTTCTTGAAGTAAACTTCTAGTTTCTTACCCTTCCATTCAATCAGTGGAGCCTTTGCTTGTCTTAGTACAACAACGTTCGCCTCAGTTATAATGGCTCTATCCAAAACATCAACATATTTTCCTAACTTGAGTACGTTAATTCAGTCAAAGACCTCAACATCTAATCCACCTTGAAACTTCCTAGCCTTTTTGTAATCAGTATCTACCATATGTGGCGCATACTGTGCAAGCTCAGTGAATTTAGCTTCATACTCTGCTACCGACAAAGTACCCTGCTTTAGTTGCTCAAATTCTGTCACCTTGTGGTCTCGCACACACTGTGGGAAATACTTTTCATAAAAAGCTTCTTTAAATCGTGCCCAAGTCATGGCAGTTTGCTGATTACGGACAAGCATCTACCACCTTCTTGTTTCCTCTTACAAGGTAAAAGTTGCTAACAAAACCTTTTGCTTTTTGGTACACGGAAATATTTCGAATAACTCCTCAATCTCCAAAATTCAAGCTTCAGCTTTCAGCGGTTCAAGACCTCTTGGAAAAGTAGGAGGTTTCAGTTTGTTTAACTTTTGTGTGAGGGTAATAATGTCACTATTGTTAGGTGGCTCCACTAGAATTGGTGGCGGAGGAAAATGTGGAAATGGCTGGTTCTGTTGTTGTCTTAGCACTTCTATCAATAACTCTACCATTCACTCTAACCACTCCATTCTTGCATCAAAAGACTCAGATCTCTCTGCAGGTCTTGTTTCTTCCATTGGTCTATAGGTAAACAGAGTGATAATAAACATAGGACACATAGAGTTCACACTTACATTATTACCTCATAGGTACATCAAGACAAACCACACACACTCATACATGCAGATAATATGCTCTAATTTCTTCCCTAGGACATCCTATAGCTTATTTGAATGTGTGTGTGCGGTATAACTCGTGCTCTGATACCACTCTGTCACGACCCAAACCCGCTCCTATAGGTTTAGTGTCATAACCGGCCAATAATCTGAGATTACCAAAGGCTTAACTGAATAGTTCAAATAAACGGGGCTATCACAAGCTAATATAGGAGAAAAGAAACCATCCAATGAGCTGTGACAATAGCATGAGACAAAATGCATTTATATATATATATACACATATGTACATCCAAGCATCACAAATCTGCCAAAACGCAAAAAAAAAAAAAAAACAGTTCCAACTACCACAGACATAACCCCAACAAAAACCAACTATAATCCGTGGGTGACTCTCAAAAGGGGGATCATTGGCCACCTCAAAACTTTGACAGATGGGAACCTCGCAATGAGGCACGCCAGGTGGCTTAACAAAACTGAGGCAAGATCACCATTATTAAATCTCCTCCTGAACTGGGTCACCTACATAATATATATTGTAGACACCTCATTTTTGATGGCCCTTACGACTTGGACATCCTCGCATGCACACCTGATGATGAATATATTTGATCACTAAGTGCTCGAAGTCCTCAGCAGAATACCACAACTTTGACCTACAATTCCTTAACCTTTGCATGTACACCCTTAACCAAATCTTCTCATCTTTGAGCTGAGGTGTCTTTGAGTCTGGTTTGAGCTCTAGAGGGTGTTGTTTGCTTGGTTTTGTTTATTGACTTGCTTCTTCTCTTCAAGAGGTATAAGACTTTACCTATTTGCTTGCTTTCTCTATTATTTTTCCTACTATTTTTCCATTGTTTTGGGCTGTCAAAACTCTGTGTTTTTTAGGCTGAACCTTGGGTATAAGGCCATTAAAGGTTAAGAGGTTGATAGCCCTTCTTTACACCTTATTTTAGAGGCCTTTGCCCTTGTGTTTCCCACCCTTTTACTATCTTTTTTCAAGCTTTTAAATACTAATTTTTAGAGCTTTTTCAGTGGCCAAAATCATGTTTTGAAGTTCAAAACTGGAGGGGTTAGCCTCCCCTCTTTGTGTCTTGCTTACTAGCCTAGTTTGTGCCATGTTTTAACATGTTAATCTAGACTTTTTTAGCTCAATTCCAGCATGTTTTAGAATTATATTAGACCTATTTTAGCACTGTTTTGAGCTATTGGTTGCATTTGCGCTTTGCTTTGCATGCTTATGGTGTAATAGTCCTCATAAGTTTGGTGTTCTAGGCCTTAGATACCATCTTGTTTGAGTTGATAGCATTTATTTATGCTTTTCGCACTCATTTTCAGCACT